AAAAAGATGACAGACGCGTTGAATCCAACAACCGGCTTCGCCGAAGAACACAAGGAGCAAAAATCCGACTCGGACTCGGTATCGTCTGACGTTCTGTCGTCGCCCTCGTCCTTTTTCCTCGACGATTTCGATTGCATCGAAGCAGAAATCAGCGACGAAGAATGTGATTCCGGTCTGATTCGGAACGGTGTGAGCGGCGATCACCACTCGCCGGATGCCCTCTTGGCCTACGAACTCAATCAGTTGTCGCTCGAGGAACGGGGGCTGCTCGACAACGACATACACGGCATCCAMCCCCGGCCCCTGGAGGAGACGCCCGATTTTCTGCGCGAGAAAATCGATCAGCTGTCGGTCAAACTGGACTCGATGCCAGAACGAGACAAGTCGGCCTACAAGGTGAGCCARGCCTTTCCCAAAACATAYGTCAACACCAAGGAATTTCGCTTGATGTTTCTCCGGTGCGAGCAATTCGATGTCCAGAAGGCGGCCACCCGGCTTCTCCTCTTYTTGGACAMGATACGGGAGTCTTTCGGCGACGTGGTTTTGGAACGCCGGATTCGTTTCTCGGACCTCGATGAGCCAGCGGCGGAAACAGTAAGCAAGGGAATGCTCCAAATGTTGCCGGGCAGGGACCGTTCTGGTCGAAGGGTCGCAGGAAATTTCCCGTTCGTCATTCAAGGATGCGGCATTCCAGCATCATCTAGAGTAAGTAGTACAGAATGCTCACCAGGGGRAAACAATACGACAGATCGCATTCACTAAACCAACGTTTTCTTTGGATTTTTGATCCATGGTTGTCTCTATCAGATTCAAGCGGCACTATATATAATCACTTCGATTRCAAGAGAAAACGTCGACGTSCAGAGAGACGGTATCGTGGGATTATTCTGGGTTCTTGATTACAAYATTGTAATCAGGGACTTCAATGATATCATCGATGATTTCAAGACGCGATCTTTGGTGCACGGCACTCTAATAAATTGCATTCCGGTGCGGTTCGTCTCGCTCCACATGTGTCTTCCCAACACCTCAGAGATGTTACAAGAGAGACTCTGTCAAATAGCTAAAGCTATGTATATTTATGCTATAGGTCCCGAGAATCGAAAGCGCCTACGGGTTCACTTTGGTAAGATCTCTTTTGTTCGCTTTCTTCCGCTTCTTTTTCGAACAGGCTGTTTTCCTGATCGATGAACTCACTCGACGTTATATTACTGACAGGTTCTCCTGTAGAGTGTTTGTATGCACTCCAAACATTTGGAATTGCATCTCATGGGATACCGATCAACACCAACACGGGGAAAATCAAACTCCACCAGCATCATCAATGGTTGGAGGTACAGCGACAAAAAGACAAAGCCTACCAAAAGAATGAGAGTTTCCYTGGAATAGAGTGCCCGGCACAAAACGATATTTTGTTTGGTAGGGGGTGGCCGAAGATGAGTCACCCGGGCAACGCCATATTTCGAAACTTGATCGAAACCCGGCTGGAAGAATACAACAGCGCTCGATCGAAGAAAGACAAAACGATGATAGGCTTGTCGATTGTGTGTGAACTCAAGGAAAGCGGTGCACGATTTTTGAAACAGGGCGAGCACGGACTGTGGCTAGAGGTCTCCAGCAACGAGGCCCGCCAAAAAGTAAGCATCGGATTCCGGGACGTTCGCAAGGCCAAGATCAAATCTGCCAAACTCGCGGCTGCCGCCGGCGATGCCGAAAGGAATTGCCCGTCGTCGACCGTCAAACGCAAAAGCCASCAGACAGATCCCACGAACCCCACCGAGAAGAACAACAACCCCAGAAGCCAGACCAAAACACACCCGATGCAATACGATGAGGGATCGTTTGCCTTTGTACAAATGGATGGCAGCAAACGAATGCGATGCGGGCCRTGCAAGGATGAATAAACRSTTGGAAAATTGAGGAGGACTGCTCGACACTGCTGAAGAATATTTTTAGTACACTWTATTGTGCAACTATCGAATTCATYGGTCAACGACTAATAATGTAGTCCATGCCATGAATGATGTTCCAACGATCACTACATTGAACATTGCTTTTTTGGGGGTTGATGGTGGTCAGTGCTGTTGCCTAGGAATTAATCATTCGCAACCTTAAGCACTAAGTCAGGCAGAATACATGAAATCTTTTTTCTCGACTTCGTTATCGCATTCGCGACCCTCGAWTTCCGCAAGAAATCAAAAAGACGATAGATAAACAGAAAATTGAGGCATTCCGCCACAGTATGCAAGGTAATTTTGCGAAACAGGAGTATATTGCATAGCTGAACAGCTTTGACTATTGATACTTTGTCGCATCACTTTGATCTCCGTGCTTTGGCACGTCTTTTGGTGCCTGGGCTTCCTCARTTATAGTTCTCCGTTAGAGGGAGACAGCGGTTGCCTAAAATGATKAATAGRAGTGATAATGCTGAAAGTGAACTAGCATTGGTAGTAGTATAAGTCATAGTACAACTATGAAGAAAACAAAAATAGTTTCAGAAKAAGAAGTAGTAGTTGTACTACTGAATATACAACATGTACAAATCATATTTTCWGATACTAATTCTATTTTTCACATAGTAGTTATCCTCCTAACATTGATATTGATAAAGGTATCATCTAGAGCTACAGCTAGAACTAGAGYTATGGATAGAGCTGGAGCTACAACAAGAGCTAGAACTAGAGCTACCGTATATATTATCTAAAGCTACAACAACACCAGGAGCTACACTCCAAAGATAGATATTGATATTATTATTAATAATAGTGATATTGATACTAAAATATACCTTCTAGTAGAGCTAGTA